TCCTCACTCGAAAGATGTTCATTTGAAGGATGTTCATTTGAAATCTTGTGTTAATTGTTTAGCCAGAAAACAACACATAGTTTCAATTCGAAGAAATCCACCATCTAGAAGACCACGTATTCTAGATTTGATTCACACTAATGAATGTTCTATGACAGAAAAATCTCTTAGTGGGGCATCTTATTTTGTCACATTTATTGATGACCATTCCAGGAAAGTATAGGTCTATCTTTGTAAAGACCAAGTCCTTGATGCTTACGATCGGATAATGTTTCATGTAAAAGTCGAAAGGGAATTGAGCATGAAATTAAAATGTGTACAATTGGATAATGGTGGTGAGTATAGAGGTCCATTTGAAGAATACTGCAGGAAGTATGGGATAAAGCTTGAGAAAACTGTCCCAAAAACGCCACAACAAAATGGTATTGCAGAAAGAATGAATCGTACGATCACAAAGAGTTCGTTCAATGTTGTCTCATGCAAAGTTACCTAAATCATTTTGGGGGGAGGCAGTTAAAAATGCAGTTCATTTGATCAATATTTCTCCTTCAGTTTCTTTTTATAGTGAAGGTCCATAAATGATATGGTCAGGGAGAAAAGTAAATTATGAAAGTTTGAAGGTGTTAGGATGTAGAGCCTTTGTTCATATCCGGAAGGATGAGAGATCAAAACTTGATAGCAAGACAAAACAATGTATTTTTCTTGGCTATCATGAAGATGAGTTTGGTTATAGGTTATGGAGTCCTGCTGAAAGAAAGATTGTCAGAAGTAGAAATGTCGTCTTTTTTTAATATCAAACCATTGAAGACATACAAAAATTGGGAAAGTCTACAATATCCCGTGAAGAATTGCCTATGATTATGAATCTAGTTCCTTCCCCGGGTGTAGTTGATGATCACGGGAGAGAAGTGAACCAAGAAGATCATCCTCACAACATTGACGATTATGATAACCATGAGAATGTGGAACATATAACACAACAAGAAAATCAACCACCATCACCACTAGAGTTAAGAAGGTCTAATAAAGATAGACGACTTCCAGCAAAATTTGCTAGTGGTGACTATCAGTTGAGAGCCAGAGTCTTAAGAAGAGGCTCTAAAGAGATATTCACCAAAAAGAGTGGATAGAAGCCATGCAAGACGAGATAAAATCCTTGCATGAGAATCACACATTTGATTTGGTACAATTACCAAAGGGTCGACGAACACTCGAGAATAAATGGGTGTTTAGATTGAAGAGTAAGGAAAATATTCTGCACTTAAGATACAAAGCAAGGCTAGTTGTGTAGGGGTTCAGTCAAAAGAAAGGTATTAACTTTGAAGAAATATTTTCACCGGTGGTGAAAATGTCGTCAATACTTCGGCATGGCAGCATGCATGGATTTAGAAATTGAATAATTAGATGTGAAAACAGCCTTCCTACATGGTAATTTGGAAGAAGAAATATATATGGAACAACCTGGGTGATTTGAACGAAAAGAGCAAATGGTATGTCGTTTGAATAAGAGACTTATGGTTTGAAACAAGCTCCGCATCAACGGTATCGAAAATTTGAATCCTTTATGAAGGATCATTAGTATCACAAGACGACATCAGATCATTATGTGTTCATCAAAAGATTTGCAGAGGGAGATTTTATTATGTTACTCCTCTATGTTGATGATATCTTAATTACTGGCCGCGACACCAATAAAATCGCCAACTTAAAAAAGGCAATGAATAAGTGTTTTGCCATGAAAGACTTAGGACCAGCAAAACAAATACTAGGCATAAAAATCTCCAAATAAGAAGTTATGGCTATCACAGGAAAGATATATGAGAGGTTTAACATGCATAAGGCCAAACCAGTAAGTTCTCCACTTGCAAGTCATTTTAAGTTGAGTTTTGAACAATGTCCTACAAGTGAGATAGAAAGAGAAGAGATGACTAAAGTTCCTTATTCATCTACAGTGGGTAGTTTGATGTATGCTATGGTCTGTAAAGACCGACATTGCCTACTTGGTAGGTGTTGTAAGTAGGTTCCTCTCGAATCCAAGAAAAGAACATTCGGAAGCTGTAAAATGGATTTTAAGGTATTTATGGGGCACATAAAAAATGTGCCTAAGTTTTGGCCAAGGAGATCCTGTGTTAAAAGGATACACAAATGCAAATATGGCAAATGATGTTGATTCACAAAAGTCAATATCAGGCTATATGATGACTTTTGCAGGGGGGGCTATATCATGGCAGTCAAGGTTACAAAAATGTGTTGCATTATCAACAATGGAAGTCGAGTATATTGCTGTGACGGAAGCATGTAAAGAGCTCTTGTGGATGAAGAATTTCCTACAAGAGTTGCGGATTAAAAAACATAAGTATACACTATACTGTGATAGCCAAAGTGCTATTCATCTTGCAAAAAATCCTACCTTCCATGCCCGTTCCAAACATATAGACGTAAGGTATCAGTGGATACGAGAAGTCTTTGAAGCCAAGTTGTTGCATTTGGAAAAGATCCATACCGACCGCAATGGTTTAGATATGATGACAAAAACATTGACCATGCAAAAGCTTGATGTTTGACGAGATAAAGCGGGTCTATCAATAATCTCCTAACTAAGTCGGAAGGGGGAGATTTGTTGGATAATATTCCTCCTTATTTTTAGAGTTTGCTAAAAAATAACAAAGGAGAATTTACAGGAAAGGAAGTGAAAGAATGATGTAGAGGAAAAATAAGGAGAAGAATAATAATGGGGTATAGTTATCTCATTTAAGTCGCTCATTATTTAGTAACAGAAGGATTATATATATTGTGTAATCATGTAGTCTTTGGTGATGATAATCGTAATTCAGATAGAATTTGTATCACATTGTTTTGATAAATAGAGAAACATATTTAAATTTGAGAATATACCATCGAATGTTAGTTTATAGTTTATAAACAATTTGTGAGTTAATCTATTCTATTAGAGAGATGTAATTGTTACCTATTTGTTTATACACAAAAGGAAAGTGAATATTATTTCCGCTACAAGATTATTTGTGATCTTTCCCAACAGTAGAGAGATTATAAAAAAAAAAAAAATCAATATTAAACTATTTAACAGGTTGCAAGTCAAAAGGATTGTTAAAAGAAGATATGTGTAAAAGGTGGGAGTGTTTTGAAATGATTGAAAGGTAGGATTGTTTTGGGAAGATGGAGCAAAGTTGGGATTATTTATTTGTATTTTTTTCTTTATAATTTTACTAAAATATAATTAAAGATATTCATGGTACAATATGTGCATTGACAAGTGTAAAAATCTCAACGTCCTAATTAAAAGAGAACAGAGGAATTATTATTTAATTATAATAAACTTTCAAGGAAAAATAACAATAAATCATCGAATAACAATAAACTTTCTACAACTTTTAAGCACTTTTTGTTTTTGTCCATTTTATAAAATTCTTCACACTTTCACTCTATTTCATTTTTGGCAGATCCTTTTGACACCTTTACCTTTCACACCACAATTTATACACTTTTCAACTCACTATACTCTTTATAAATCTTTCTTTATTCTTTTTTTTTTTCTTACGCTTATTCACCACATCACCACTTTCCCTTCAATTGCCTTAATTTATATGCAAATAATAAATTTTAATAATATTTCTTTAATAAAAATTAATTTAAATAAGTTTTCATTCAGCACAAAGAAACTAGAATTAAATTGAGAAGTGGAAAAATTACGAGAATGTCATGGGAAGCACCTTAATCATTTGTCTAATTATGATGATTTAAGAACCCAAATTGATTATCAATTCTCATTATAGGTCATGGTTCTTACTAAATTTTAATTCTATGTACTACTTTTGTTCCCTGAAAGTACTTTATGACTACTATTTGCACACAAATTAATGCAATTGATGAGAGATTGTTGATGTGATGAGTGGGTGTAATGAATACGTGAATAAAGTAGGAAAGAGATTGTAAAAATTTGGGTAGGTGTAAGAAAAAAGGTGGAAAACGTAGAAAGATTGTGGAAAGCCGAGTGGTGTAAGAAATTGTTGGAAAAAGTATGAGAGAGTGAATGGGAAGGTGTTTGCCAAAATATTAAAGTAAAATAAAAGGATAAAGAACTTAAGAGCACACTAAAACGGGAAGTGCAAAGAACTTAACGGAGGAAGTGTATAACACTAACCCAATGTAAAAATAAAACCTAATATAATACCAAAAGACCAAAACTAAGGGTTATCATTTTCTATCAACCAAGCAACTAAACCAACTAAACATTTGCTAGATGTAGAGTACAATGAGCTGCTAACTGGTGAAGAAAAGAGAAAAACTGATGCAGAATATGAGAAAGCCAACTCTTTTTCCATATTATAAACTTAAATCCAGCAAATAACTGGAAACTGCAAAACAAATACTTCGTTCCAAACTAAATTAAAGAGAAAATAAAAAAAAGAGAGTGAGATGCCCCAAATTATGTAGACAAGCCCTTACTCCTCACTAATTCAAACTTCAAAGTTTTAACCAAGCCCAAAGTCCAATCTATCAATTTATAAGTATATAAATTCATAATAAAATACAGCAAAAACTACAAATTTTAAAATCTAATTAGCATTAATAGATACTCCAATATGTTTTAAAACCTAAATCATGTTTAGAAATATGAAATTTTGCAGAGGATGATCTGGTCTTTCATCAAATGTGTTGATAGCTCAGGGTGGTAGTTTTATGTTATTGCAACAAAACTTTCGCAGTTATCCCATTTATTGTACATCTTGCTCTTAGCATGGTTACAATCTTTATTGATTAACTAAAAGCAGCATATATAGTCCAAAAGATGGAAGTATGGAAGTCCATCTCTATCACAGTATCTAACAGAGTAGAATACCACTCGTGTTCAGTATATATATGCCAAGCATTCAAACACAGTCAGTGATTACACTAGCAAAGTAGCATATACATATGCATGGGGCAGCAACATGTTCTCTAAACTTATATTTGTAATAAATTATAGTCAGATGTCTTACTCTTGAACAGGATGATAGGCCACAGTCTTCACATATCTAGCCTGCTCTGAGCCAATGGAATATTTTCTTCTTTTTCTTATCCCAATGTGCAGATCATAATTCGGAACTGGATCGCCCATCTGAATAATCCAGAAAGAATTTTTCTTGACATGCAGATAAATAAACAAACAAGCAAAAAGCATAGCCTTATACCCCCCCCCCCTCTTCCGCCCAACACACACGAAGAAAATATTTACACTACCATGATCAGTTGTTAATTCCCTTTCCACTCTCAAGTTCTGTTGTACTAGAGTTAATGCTACACATTGACAAATAAAAAACATCAACATAAAAAATATACTCATAGTTGTTAGTTGCAAATCTTGCAATTATAAATATATATGACTAACAAGCATTGAAAAATTCACATAATTTTCACATTTGAATACAAGTTGAGGTCGATATCCAAATACTTGAGCCATAAATTAAAACACTTCATTGCAAAGAAACAAGCATACCTCCATTTCAAAATCATGTAGCAATCCTTCACCATCAAGAATCTCATTTTCTCCCTCTCGTTTGGCAGTCAACCATGTAGTAAAGTCAGGGGTCCTCATTTTAGCAGAAACCACTTGATATGTTGTGCCCACGGCAGTAACTCCGGCTCCTACTGCAAAATGGAATTCAATTTTCCCTTGACCTGCAATAGAAGAGGCCAAAGTCATATTTGTAAATACAATTCACTACTTAACTGCAAAAGAAAGCATTCAAGATAAAGTTTAAACTCTATCTTATATGAAAAGTATTCAATGACGTGTGGGGTAGTAACTTTGAGAAATGGAGCCAAACAAGAAATGTGCAACAAGTTTAAACTCTAAAAAACCACATGCATAATATCCTATAGAACTACAACGAAGAGAAGGTTCGGAGCAATGTAAAAAGCCTATGATTGATAGCAAGAATGTTTTCATGGTTTCCCGTGAGCATGGGTACAATCTGGAAGTTAGGAAATTCTCTGCATAAAATTTTTCACTTCAATAACAAAAGTAAACTTTGTACACATATGTGCAGATGATGAGTACTAAAGATCCAACATGAATGGCCATGACAATTATATTGTCCTCACTCCTCAGAGAGAAGACATATGACTCCACCATGCTGAAGCTTATGAACACAAGAGTACTACACTAATGAAGTCTTAATCCCTATGATAGGGTTGGCAACATGAACCAAGATTTTATCTCCTATTTACATAATATGCGTATCACAAATTAGCAGATGAGAATAAGAAACCACTTTAATAAATCAAAGTTACCAAGGAATCCAAGGCATTGTTTTAAATCTGAGATCTGGTCGCAATTGCAATAACAATTGTAGAATCACTTTCACGGGTAATATGGGTGGTTTGCAGCTGTTTCAGCCTTTAATTCGGTCGTGGTAAGCTCAAGATCATTTACAACGCGGTCGCAATGTAGTGATGTGGCTACGTTTAATACCATGGTCCAAGGTACTAAATAAAATAAGGCAGTTCATCCAGCATGGCCTCAAATAAAAAATTAATTCATAACAAGAATACTTCCAAATTTTCAAATTAAAAATTGGTGCACTTTACAAGAAAATCCTGAATAGTGAATGTGAACATAAGGTAGGTAACAACAAACAATATCATCTAATGCAGCAACATCCTTCGCACATACAGAATCCCCAGTCTATCAATGTTACAATTACCAAGGTTTTCAGTTCATACAGCATAAACCCTAACCCAAATGAACGTATCATAAATGCTATAGCAGGGAAATTTCTGTATGCAAAAAGAGAAAGCAATATGTTATACCACCAAATGTAGTTCTCTTCATTGCAAAAACAAGAGCAACAGCATCATAAGATGATCCCTGTCCTCGATGTGTTGAAATGATTTCTGTATCAATGCTCGAATGCCTGAAACTGCAGATTTCATTTCCAGCAAAGACAGTTTTTTGAGACAACGCGTAATCTGCAGGACACAAGAGTCACCAGTCAAAAAAAAAAAAGTATGAAGTTAATCATGGGAAAGCTAAAATTAGAAATACACAGTTTAAACACAAAAAGAAAAACAAAACACTAAAGTAGCCACTTTACCCTGGACCTAAGCCAACCCGCTTGAAGTACTAAATGACTAATATCAAGGTCAAACATAGAGTGCATTGTACATCATGATGAAACAATAAACTTGATTTCAACAAGCAGAAGGAATGAAATATTAAAAGCAGTCATAATGAAATAGCCAACTACACTTGAGCAAAACCTAATGAAAGCCTTAAGCCATAGGGATCCAGGGTGCTGAACTCAACCAACAAAGAAGGACCAAATAATATTGTAGGTTCCAACAATTGCCCAAGTGATATCAATAATCTAGTTGATGTAGTAGGTTCCAAAAGGGATATGGATAGACTAGCCCATGGAATAATAGATGGACAAATGAAGAGCAGTTCATAAGGATTAGGCCTATAATTTTTTAGCAAAAATCATTATAAATCAGCAATGATAATCAATCCAGCATAACAAGAATTTAGCTATTATGGATTTATGATCATGATATGATGAAGCAAGGAATATCTGCCGAGCCAGCATTTTGCAATTTAAAACCATTTTAGAAAAGTAAAAGCCAAAGGAATACATACCATATGTACAGAATGACTATTTTCAGAAAGTAATAGCAAAATATATGCCTAAATAAATCAACAGCTGGCTCTACTAAAACATAGCTAGAAGCATCTCCCTATTCTTTATCACACATGTACCACTTGCTTCACCTCAGTACAGGTGCATTTGAGATTTTGAATATCAGGTACTCACCAGATTGCCAGAAAATTGGTCCCCGTTGTCAAGATCATTTATCAGCTTCAATTCTCCTTCTCCCACCCCTCTAGCCCCCTTCCATTCTCCAAGGCTTCAGGTTGATCTCCAAGCTCAGGATTTTTTTTTTATTTTTTTTTTTTGCCAAATGCCAAACAGCTCTGATATCAATCTCCTAAACATCTTCACTAACCTGCCTATTCCTCTCAGTGGTACTGTGTTTACTTGCATTAAAATTTGTGGGCTATGTTTATTGTCTTTTTTAAGACATATATTATACTGGTTTTCTATAATAATTTCATTAACATGTCTAAACCAGCTCTTTAGGGAAGTCGATGTTTGAGATATATGATGGTCGTGGTAATGGGAAATAATTGAGAAATTATTATCATTAAGGAAAAAATTCTAATACAAAGTTGCCAACTCAACTAATGAATTGCAGCTTGTCAGAAAGTGAAACTAATACAACATTGTTTTCCAAAAAGAGTTGAACATGCAATGGTTGGGCATAATCCTTACCTTCAGGATGTACCATTACAAAATCTAGTTCAATGGAATAAAGGAACAAATCAATGTGCCATTGTTGGAGGTTTTCATTTACTATTCAGAAAATTCATTCTAATTGAGCTCTTATGCATTTGCAGCGACACAATTTGGGTAGTTATGCATCTCAAAGAAGGATTGATCAAAAACCTTGCCATAACAAGACACAACATACACATGGGTATATTATTAGAACTTATTAAGGAAACATGGAAAGAGTGGTATCACAATTGTTGATGATACATGGAATGATCCATAATAAAGGCTGCTGATTGATTTCTAGACAGTTTAGGAGTTCAGGATATTAGCAAATAGTCCGTACATCATTGCTTCCTTTCTAAAAAAAATAAGCGGTTAATTTTATGTTCTGGACCTTCTGAGTGGAATAATATAGAGAAAAATCAAACTCACGGAAATATCATTCTGGATGTGGATCCATGAAATTGATTTTCATGTATTAACAGTTAACGCATCAAAATGAACAAACAATAAACATCTACTTAACACCATAACAGGAGACATGTAACTAAACATCTATGAACACCATGAGTAGCTAATACTCTAAAGTCTAAAGTCTAAACCTTGCCTTGATCATATTTGTCCAGCAAATATGAAGTCAAATATATACATGTGATGAGCAGCATAAATTCACAGACCTTATTGGTGATATGGACTAATACAATGCAAAGCAAAAACTTTGTCACTACATACCTTGAGCAGGGTGATTTTCTACACTCACTCACTTGATTCAAGAGCCTTTTTTAAAAAAAATAAGGGGAATTATAGGAATTATCCTCTCTAGCAAATAAGAAATGGACTGCAACTAGGGGGAAACTTCAGAGCGTACACATAATTGCTTCAAGCATTGGCATTTAAACTTCAAATAGCATAGCCAACCAAATTCTTCCTCTTACTCAACTAAAATTTCACTAGAACTATCATTCACTCCTATAATAGAAAATTACTGTCTCTAAAGTTGGTAACAAACTTTGTTTGTCAATCTATAATTTCTGGTTTTTATTTTCCCTCCTAAAATAAGCATGCATGTCATAGCACTAATTTTGAAGTTCTCTTCATCTCTTAGGAGCAATTTACAAGTGATAGTATAAAATAGAGAATGAAACTCACCCAACTTTTCGAGAACAGGTTTCATATGAGCTCGTGAATCCTATATCACCATGAAAAAACAAAGTTGAAGCATACAACCAAAAGATATCTCAAAGGGGAAATTATAGCTTTTAAGCAAGAAAACAAATGAAGAACTCACTCCAAACATTATGATTGCCTCAGGGGATGTGAGACCTGATACAGAAGCTGAAAAACCCCTCAGGTCCATGACAAACTTGTCAATACTGCCTCCCTATCAATACAAAAATTGTTCACTTTTCAAGTTCTGCTAATTGAATGGTGATGAAATTGACTATCTTACAAAGCATATACCTTTTTTGCTTTTGGAAGTGAGATGATACCAACTTTAAGGCTGGGAAAATATCCAATTGTTAATGAAATACCCCCATTATGCAGAGGACAATGATCCTCATCATCAAAATATGGGAACCTCACCTGTCCAGTTCTCAAGTCAATAGTAAGCTACACAAATAAATAAGCTATTATAAAAACAGTAAGAAAGCTTTACATGATAAGAGGACTTGAGGAATCAATTCTGGGTCCAAACCTGCAACATCAAAACATGTTCAAGTTCCGAAACCACGTTCTTGGATTCTTGTTCACCCTTCTTTGAAATAAACTCTTGAGAATTATGTTACATGGACTCGGGAACGGGTGTCGGACACGGACATACATGTCCAAGTGTCTAATCCGGCGAGTTCCAAAATTTTAGGCAACGGGACTCTGTCCGATATTTGGACACGGGTACGAGGACACGTTGATACGTCACTTAAATTTAAATAAATAAATAATATATCACAGAAGCTTTACATTTTCATTAAGTCCACCCCTATTTCTTTATTTTAATTCTTTGCTCGGTAAATTCTCCCAATAAATGGCAATTTTCTTCTCTTTTTAGACAATGCCCTTATGCTTGTGACATCAATTCGATTGAATATCGTCTCCTAACCTTTGATTATCAGAGCAATGTCATAAAAGATTTAATTTGTTCCTCTTTTAAATTTCATGATATTGTGCAAGCGGTGAAAGATAGATTTTGTTGTACCATCACCTACAAGTGAGCTTGATTAGCAAGACAAAAGACAATTTTGGTGATCAAAGAAACCTTACAAAGATTTTACTAAGAACATAGAAGCATTGAAATTTGAAATATTCTAATCTTGGAACCACATAGGAATGATGTACGACCACATCTTGCGAAGAACCTTTGTTTTCTCTCTCTCACTGTTTTTTCTTTCAAATAAGTGAAGATTTGGGCATTCAAGGCATTAAGCGGTTTTAAGTACTATTGACCCCTTATCACCATAGATGGAACCCATCAATATGGCAAGTGTAAGGGAATATTATTCAAACCCATGGGTACGAAAGCCAATTTTCAATTGTTCCCTTTAGCTTTTTCTATTGTAAAGATGAAAATGGTGACATATGGCAATGGTTTATGAAATGCATCTGGCATCAAGTCATCCAAGAGGGAGGATTATGTGTCATTTTCAAAAGACATAAAGGGATTTTGGCAACAATGAGAAGTTGATAGTAGTTGGGAAGAGACGTTTTCCAATAGATATTGAATTCGCCATCATGCATCTAACTCTGTATGAGATATCCTTTTGGAAAAGTTGTACATGCTTTTTTAATACTTTAATCACAACGTTGGAAAGTTTACCCTATTCACACACGCTTTTGACCATCTTGATTTATTCATTAGAAAAAGCAAAGCCATGTGGTTTTCTTGTTGGATTCACCTCGATACATACAATCACAATATTAAATTTTAATGATTTTTACTAAAGTAAAATAAAGGATATTAATGGTATAAAATGTGCATTGGCAAATGTGAAAACTCAATGTTGCTAAGAGAACGAAGAAAGCAATACTATATAAAATTAAAAATTTTAAAATAATTGAGTACTTCTTCAACAACAAAATTGGTGAATTGAATGTCAAAGCTCGCCGATACTTATGGATATTTCACTTCATTGGTGATTAATTTACCACACAGTGGCTTTAGATATGGCGTGAAACCCGCTAACACACCAAAGTCTTTCCATAAGGTTATGAAAGATGCTCGTTGCTTGCCATTGATTGCCTTCATTTGGGTGAGCTCCTTTGTTACAAGACAAGGTTGGGAAAGAAGATTAAAAAGGCCATGATTTCATTGTATGAAAAACATGTAAGAACAGGGTGAAATCTGGTGCCTGTACTATTGTTTCTTTTAATTACAACTAAATGTGCGGAGATCGGGCTAGGGTAAAGGTGATAACAAAGTAAACAGACATTGTTAATCTTGCACTTGTTAGAAGTTAAAAAACTACAATGCTCCCATGTGCTTTTGGTTTGTCGTTATTCCAACTTATATTATGTTGATTTCGTTGATCCATTATTTACCACGCTTGAGTGCTTGAGTATGAACAAAATTGTTTGAATAATCTCCAGCATGCTTCCATGGGACTAGGAGTGATAATAGTTGCCAACATTCACTAAGCACGAGGTCTCGGACGTCTAAAGTCTACTAGGAGTCACAATGACATTGATTTCAGTGATCGCTATGTAAAATTTAAAAAAGAAATAGTAAGAACACTTGTCCACTTACGGAGCGTTTGGTATGTGGGATAGGGATAAGAAGGATACGAGGATAGGATAAGGATAGAGAATTATGGGTGGGATAGGGATAAAATAAAGTGTTATCCTTTGTTTGGTATAAGTTAGGGATAATAGTAGGATAAGTAACAAATTTACAAATATACCCTTACTAACCTACCTTTCTCCTCTCTTTTCATTAAAAGGTATATATATCATTTTAATTATAATCCCTATCCCTACATCCTTATACCAACCCCCCTAGGTATAGAATTTGAAGGATAAGAGGGGTTTTAATCCTTGTCCCATCCCCCTCTTTAGTCCCTATCCCTATAAACAAACATGGAAATTTAATACCCTTTCCCAAAAGCCTTATCCCTCTTCTTTTATCCCCTAAACAAACAGGCTATACAATGCCTGTTAGGGGTAGTGTTAGATCAACGCCCCTCCATCATTAACAATCGTCATTAACAATCATCATCAACTATACAACATTGAGTTGGTAATATAGCCCTAACAGTGTGTTTGGATCGAAGGAAATGGAGGGAAAGGAAGGGAAGAGAAATGGAGAGATGGGGTATCTTTCATTTGGATAAAAAATGAGGAAGGAAGGGAATTGGAGGGGAGAGAAATGGAGGTACTAAACTGTAGGAAATTGATCCCTCCATCAATGAAGAGATTTGGAAAGAAAACTCACCATTCTTCCCTCCCCTCCTCTTATCCTCCATCCCCTTCTTTTCCTTTCCCTTTCTTTATCCAAACACACTGTTAATTCTTATTTTTTTTCAATTTAAAACTTGTATTTTCAAATACTAATAAATATCTTATTTTTATGTTTGAGTTTTTTTTAGCCACATAAATTAGCTAATTTTGTAAGAAGAAACACTCGAACGGTGAAGCCTCCTCCTGAAAACTTGTACTAGTATTTTCAAATACTAATTAAAAAATTCTTTTGAGCCAACAATTAACCTTCAAGTGTTTACACATCACAAACAATATCACACAATAAATTCCTGCACAACATTCATAAGGCAAAAACAATCTCACCTCGCTTAAACAGTCAGTTTCCGCATCCCTTCCAATGATCCCATTAACATCACATGTAACAATCGGGATTGTAGAACCCAATTTCTCAGTAATCTACAAATACATCACAATTAAAACTTTAGTTTCATTACCCCCATTACAATTTTCAGTATAAAAAAAATAACAATTGAAAGTGATAGAAGATAAAATTACAAGTTTATGAGCTTCATCGATATCAAAATTAGGACAAATCGAGAGAATTGCAAAATGAGGTCGAATTGGCTCAGAAAGAACCTTGTCAGTCACCTCTGTCACAGCTTCCTGCAATCAAATCAAACAAATGAATTCAATTCAATTCAATTCGACATTAATGGAGTTGGGGTTTGATGAGAGAGGAGAGAGAAATTACGGGAAGGTTGGTATTCAAAGAGAAGACAGATGATAATTTGGGACGAACTAGAATACGACTACAAATGCCATTCCAATTGCGGCTAACGCATGCGGCTGATGCAAAGGTTTTGGCCGGAAGTTTGGAGAGGATCTTCTGCAGAAGGAAATCGTCGAGCTCAGATATCTCGGCACCGTCGACGGGGAATGGGATTTTTGGTGGGTTGTCCATGGAATTGAATTATTTGTTTGCCGGGAGAACAAGGCAATGAAATGAAATGTGTGTTCCTGGAAAAAAAAATGAGTGACATTAACATTTCAAAAAAAAATTACAACTTGTTTATCATGAGTTCATGACTCATGGAGCAATACCACTACTTGAATTAGTAGGTTTGCCTTAAAAATCACTACTTGAAAAATAGTAGTTTTATCTAGATATTGATTTTACTCATTTTTATTGTAAAAGTTACACTTTTATCCCCGTGATAATTAGACCCGAAATAGCGGTTTTATCCATTTTTTATCGTAAAATTTACAGTTTTTGTGATTAGGGGTGATTACATTTGAAATACCATAATTAGGGGGTGAAAATTCGATTTACGGTTTAATCACCTTTAAAAAAAAAAAAAAAACGAAATTTTCTAAAGAAACCCAATCTTCATTATTGTATTAAAAAAACATTTATTAAAATCAACACAGATCCAATAGTTAAGAAGAAAAAAATCACAAAACTAACAACAAAAGAAAATCCAAGAACACAATTTCATCAAACACAATTAATAGCAAAGACCAAAGATCCATGCAACTGAAAACCCTAAAATCGTAAATTGGGACTAAGTCGAACAAAAAGTTTCAATCCCCAATTATACTCACGAAAATTAAAAGAAAGAAAAAAAAAATACAAATATACATCAAATCATTAGTCTAATTTGAGAAAGGAATAAACAATTAAAGAATTACCATTAATGAATCACAATTCACAAGTTTGTTACGCAAATCAATTGGGTTTTACCCATTATTACCGTAAAAGTTACACTTTTCGTAATTAGGAGTGATTACATTTGAAGTATCCATAATTAAGAGTGAAAGTTCGATTTATAATTTGATTTCGGTTTATAGTCCAAACAGAAACCAAACCGTGTTAATTCAGTTTGGGGTTTTTCAAACCAAACCAAATCATACCCTATTACTATTCGGTCCAAACCAAACAACACCGCTTTGAATTCAGTATTAAAAACAAACAAACAAACCAAACCAAACCGAAATTTTCTAAGAAACCCAATCTCCAATCCCAAGTATTAAAAAAAATGTTATTAAAATCAACACAGAACCAATAGTTAAGAAGAAAAGAATCACAAAACTAACAACAAAAGAAAACCAAGAACACAATTTCATCAAACACAATTAGCAAAGACCAAATATTTATTCAACTGGAAACCCTAAAATCGTAAACTGCGACTAAGTCAAATCAAAAGTTTCAATCCCCAATTACACACTCACGAAAATCAATAAAAAGGAAAAAAATACAAACATACATCAAATCAAAAGTCTAATTTGAGAAAGGAATCAAACAATTAAAGAATTACCAGTAATGACTTGCAATTCACAAGTTTGTTCCCCAAATCAATCGAGAAAGCATGAAGATCAAGAATGGGAAAGAGAAAGTAAGAGAGAGAAAGCGAGAAACGGTGGAAGACTGGAAGATAAGAATATTAGGGTTTTTTTTTTTGCCTTATATATGAAAGGGAATTGGCCTGTAGATAGAGCTGGTTATTGGACAAGGTAGTCCAATGATAATAGGGTTAGGGCCAAACTTATAGTTAGGGGCCTTAATGCATGGACAGGGTCTTTAATGGACAGGACCCTTATTGGGTAGGGTTAATGTAGGGCCAAAATTTTGTTCAATTTAATACATAAAGAAAATAGATAATGTAAAAAAAAATTACATACATATTTTCGTATATATATATATATATATATATATATATATATATATATATATATATATATATATATATATATATATATATATATATATACTTAACTATGACTTAGTCCAATTTCTTTTTAATTGATAATTTGTTGGTCCGCCCATTGTCGACCTGAGACCCGCATTGCCCTGACCCGCTATTGAACTTATAAAATGTGTCCCTCTTTGACGCTGACTCGTACCGACCCGCCCAATAACCAGGTTTAGTTGTAGATAATTAGATATTGGGCCAAAATTTTGGTTTAAATTCCAGTTTTAATTTTACTAAACCTTAACTCAAAACCAAATCACAAACCACTTTTTATTTTTCCAAATCGAACCGCACCATATAAAAAAAACCGAACCATATTTAATTCGGTTTAGTTTGCGGTTTGGTTCGATATGAACTAATCATATTTTTTTTAATATAAAAAGAAAATAATATATTTAAGGTAATTGGTATATTAGCTAATGTAAGGAAAAAAATATGATTCCAATTAAGAGTTCAATCAAACTTTAAATAAAATAGCATTTACAAATAAAATATCCTTAAAACAAATCGATCAATCTTAATAAAAAGTAAAATTCCCCCTCAAAAGAATATAAAACATGAAAATTCAATATAACAATCAATCTTAATTATCAATAATCATAAATAATTAATAAGTTACTTTGTTCAATAATTATATTATAATATGTTATGTCTTTTCTCAACTTTTATTAAGGATAAAATTAATTAGATGTACAACAATTATTATGGCATCCTTTTAATCTTTCATAATAATCAACTTCAAAATAATTTATACAGTAATTTGTTAATTTTTTAATCAATTCAATCAAAAATAAGTATTAATTAAAACAAGTGAAGTAGAAATTAGCGAAAATCAAACACTATAGTTAAATAGGCCTTATAAAAGTTTTTATGTTTCATACATCAGTGCACGCATTACGTGCATATAATACTAATCCATTAATAAAAAAAATCATACGAGTTCTACAAAAGAAATTCCTTATGATTGACGAGTAGGTCTTGCAATATGGAACATCTCCTGCTTGAATTGCTGGAAAATACAATTTTGTTGGAAATTTTTTTTTACAATAATCTTTTGTAGTCGTAAGGATGTTTTTCATCTAATTTTTCTAATTGTATTTGAAAAATTAATAACATTTGCGACCCCAAATAGTTTTTCACCAATGAAACTAATTTTACGGCAATTCATTTGATATTCTATCCATATTTTAAAATAAGAAAATTATCCCTCGTATAGAGGAGTAGGCAAACCTCGTCTTTGAAATGAGGTCGAAAAACCCTGTATTTTGAACAAGATCGAAAAAACCTTGTCTTTAAAATGATATCGAAAACTAGACCTGATCAAACTTGGCCCAACTTGGAAAATACCAGGTGTGGGTAGAATTTTAGGCCAAAAACTTAGTTCCGGCTTCCGGCCTGATTTATTTAAAAAAATAGGTTTTTGACAGCAATTAGTCTACTATGGACCCTGGTGCAGCTAGAATAGCTGGACCAGGCCCAACACGCTCGAAATTTTAACAACAGCCCAAATGATTTACATCAGTTACTAATCCACGTACATGATTCATGATTTACCCAAAAAACTGCAACATTTCACCTCAACTACAACATATCACCTTATTTCTCCATTTACACACGCATAATCTCTTTCACCATTTCTCTCTCTATTTTTTTCTCTCACTAAAAAAACTAAAATCAACCATGGAAGTTCATGCTCACAAGATTCTCCGGAGGTAATTTGTGTAAACAATACTTAAATTCGTTTAAATTTTGTATAATGTACATAAATTTATGCAAAATTCTTAATTTTTTTACCGAATTGAAATACAATTATATTTAAGAGTAGTAATTTGAGTTAAAAGTAGTAATTTCTTTATTTTTATTGAAATTTTGAAAAATTCGTGAATTAAATATCCTGTATGAACTAAATGTCTCACAAAATTGGTGGAATTATATGAACATTGTTTAGATGTGTTAGAATTTACTTGTTTTGTGTTAAATTCTGTAATTTGTGTGCTTAAATTAAAAAAAAATTAATCATATATTTTTTTTTCCAGAAAATCAAAACAAAAAACAAGTGTTGTATAGTAGATGAAGACAAGGCGTAAGTAAAAAAAAATTAGTACTCTTATATTCGTATTTAGTACTCTTATATTCATATTTAGTACTCTTATGTTCATATTTTGTAACTGCTATTATTCATATTTATTACGAATATGTTCAGATTTTTTTACTAAATGTTTCAAAACTATAGGCGTGGTACATTGCGATTGTTCATATATTTTTACTAAATATTCAAAATTTGTGATGTTCGGATTTTTTTACTAAATGTTCAAAATTTGCAATTGTTCAGATCTTTTTACTAAATGTTCAAAAGTATAGGCGTGGTACTTTGCGATTGTTCAGATAATTTTACTAAATGTTCAAAATTTGCGATGTTCGGATTTTTTTTACTAAATGTTCAAAATTTGCGATGTTCGGATTTTTTTTACTAAATGTTCAAAATTTGCAATTGTTCGCATCTTTTTACTAAATGTTCAAAAGTATAGGCATGGTGCACCTAATTCTAGATGGACCAAGGTCCATAGAAGAATTTGCATTTTGAAAGCTTGAAATTATATTTTTAGTTAAAAATTAGGCTTGGCCTGAATTTGGCCTAAAAACCAGCAATTGTGGCCCAAAATAGCAGGTTTGGGCGCGGTTTTTTTTTTCTTTTTCCCCTAAATTTGGGCCCAACCCAACCTAAAGCCTTGGCCTTAAATGGTCCGCCTTTTTTGGCTAAAGTCCAACCCGTACTTCTATCAAAAGTCCTTTCTTCCGAGGGAAAAATTTCCTCAGAAAAAGAGAAAACATTATTATAAACTTAAAAGACCCAAAAAAAAAATAATAAAAAAAAAAATTAAAGAAACAATTGTTAGGGCTTTTCACCAATAAAACATCAACAGTAAATACTAAGGTTTAGGAAAGAGCGAGGTTAGGGTTTTTTTTATTTTTTTATTTTATTTTTTTCATTCAGTTGGATAGTTTTCCACTTTTTCTAGTTAAAGTTAACTAGTGTAGTAAGGAAAATGTTATCATGAGGCTAATCTAGTAATAGAATTGCTTGCTAATTATGGGGTTTAGCACACTCAAAGCTTGGTTACGTTATCCTTAAGGCGGTCCCAATAGACCTTAAAATCATTTTATTGGAAGCTTTGAGTGGGTAGCTATTGATAGGAAGGTCCCGGCTCTTATGGCTTATGACTTTATTAGTATTATATTGCTTTGTTATTTTTCCTTCGTTTTGCCTTGTTTGTTTTCTTGCTTTTGTTCAAGTAGTTTGTTTGTTGTCTGCTCCCCCCTCCCCCCCCCCCCCAAAAAAAAAAACCTCATCCACCCACACAAAAAAGGGAAATTCTCATTGGTAGCCATGTAAAATTGCACATTCTCAATAGTTATAAATTCTTGTACAAATTCTCCAAAATAACATTTCTTTTGATAAGTTTTCTCTATCATGACAATGTATTTGTAATTAACAACTAATTAGGTTAATTAAACAAGAATTAAGTTACCCTTGTCGACGTCGTTCTACCCCGGAAACTGTGCGCATGGTGCCGGAGACATTCCACTTCGACCTCGACCCCTAAAACCACCCTCCCCCTTCCTAAAACCCCCTCCCTAAAACCCCCTCCCAGAACTTGCGATTGGTGGCTTCGTTAATGTCGAGCAGTGTAATAGATGTTTCCTAATTTTGTTAACCTTGTTTGTAGCCTACTATACAGGGTCAACTGTAATTTACTAATTCACCCATGCCTTTACTTTTGAAATGACTTTTCTTGTTCATCTAGGAGAATAACCTAGTTCAGCTCTAAAAAATAAAAATAAAGCCAAAGTAAAAAAATAAAATAAAATAAAATAAATGAAAGGTGGGAACAAATTTGAACCCATGCTAGCAGCTAGATGTTTCTACAATGTTCATCCTTAAAACAACCACCACTATTCTTAATTCTTATTAGCTAATTTTTCCTTTTTTTTTTCTTTGTCAAACCTCTTTTTTTGGTTTTTTTCTTTTTTAAATTCAATTTCTTTTTTTCGAAAAGTAAATTCGGATTTTTCGAAAATCTATTTTTTCATAATTATTTTATAAAAATAAGTTTTTAATAAAATAAAAAATAAATATTAAATTAAAATAATTTAAATTAAAATATTGTTTTTCATTGTTCTTCAATGTCCTAGCTTCATCCATTGATGAAAATAACCATCATCATTAGAATCTTTGTTCATCCTTAGATGAAAATAACAACCATCATTAGAATCTTTGTCCCATAAGTAAACTCACACATCAATGAAGCTTGAAAATAGGTCTCGATCTACATAGTATATGCAAAATTTGAGCTTGTTCGAAATCGGGGTTCGTATGTACGAACTTGGGTTCAATTTAAATCCTAAAATATACATGTTAATTGGACAATCGCAATTAAGGGATGCATAACCGCCAATTATATCTACGTGAAAATTAAAAAAAAATCAATTTTTTGAC